CGCTCTTGTTACCCAGGCTGGAGTGCAATGGCGCGATCTCGGCTCACTGCAACCTCCGCCTCCTGGGTTCAGGCAATTCTCCTGCCTCAGCCTCCTGAGTAGCTGCGATTACAGGCATGTGCCACCATGCCCAGCTAATTTTTTGTATTTTTAGTAGAGACAGGGTTTCACTATGTTGACCAGGATGGTCTCAATCTCTTGACCTTGTGATCCACCCGCCTCGGCCTCCCAAAGTGCTGGGATTACAGGTGTGAGCCACCGCGCCCGGCCCTAAATTGATTTTCTAAGCAAATGAAAAGGTTGGGCCATTGCTGGGGAGGGTGAAAAACCATCATTATGGGTGAGAACTTACTTTTATTACCTCTAAATTTATTTTGCTGTTGTTATTCATTAAAACAGTAAGAGGCAATTGGGCTATTTTCCACATAAAATGATTTTCCTAACATCTAGGCATTTTAATTAAAAAAATTTTTTTTGAATTTTTATTTTTTTGAGACACAGTCTCACTCTGTTGCTCAGGCTGGAGTGCAGTGGTACAATCTGGGGTCACTGCAGCCTCCACCTCCTGGGTTCAAGCAATTCTCCTGCCTCAGCCTCCTGAGTGTTGGGATTACTGGCGCACACCGTCAGGCCTGGCTATTTTTTTTTTTTTTTTTTGGTATTTTTAGTAGATGCAGGGTTTTACCATGTTGGCCAGGCTAGTTTCGAATTCCTGACCTCAAATGACCCACCTGCCTTGGCCTCCCAAAGTGCTGGGATTATAGGCGTGAGCCACTATGCCCGGCCACAATCTAGGCACTTTAGAAGTCAATCCTCAGGCCTATAAAAATGGTAAGGCAGGACTCAGAAATGACCTCTTTCAGAAATTAAAGGTTTCTATTGCTATGGTAGGACAGAGAAGCATAGCAGTCAGCCATGTTTATTTCAAATCTCATTTCCTAAACACATGGTTAAAAAAACAATGTCGTGGTTCTGTCTGCAATGGCACACTAGTGTCAATATTCGTGCTAGGATTTGCCTTCAGTGGAACTGGAAAAAAACACATGCTTTTTGCAAATGCCATCAATGAGTCAGCCTGCCGAGGGAGCGCCTCAGAGAGCACATCCACCTGCCCTGAGGGCCCCTAAGGAACAGAACAGTCCTTCCCCAGACCGACACACCGCCTACCCGGGGACAGACCATGTGCAGCACAGCCACACCTCCCGACCAGCAGCCGTCCCGAGGGAGCTGGGCCTCGTACCTTCTGCGTCCTCCTCCCCCCGCTCCTCCCCATCCTTCAGGCTCTGTTCACTGAGGTCGGCCACGATGCCGCGGCTGTGCTTCTTCCCTTCTTCATCGCCAGATTCTTCAGACTCGACCCGCCTGTCAACTGAACCCACACATGTAAGAATTTACATCCACTTTATGGGACTTTGAGGAATATATAACAGACTAACACCAAGTTGTAAGTCAAAAGGACTTCATTTACACACGTTTGTTGAATCCAGTTCAATGGAACATTTGAGTGTCTCCCAGGTCCCAGCACCACCTGAGGCATATAGCAGTGGGGAGAATGGGGGCGGGGGGGGCGCGCTGGGGAGCAGAGTGTGGAGCCCATATGGATACTTAGGTGAGGAACACACTACTTCTGCCCTCAAGGAGCTTGTGAAGAATTGCCCAGTGTTCTGAAAGCTTTGGATCACCTATGATTAAATGCACTAACGGAACCAGTGCCTCTCACTTTCGGGCTGGGTGTCCACCGCTGTGACCCTTTTGCCACATACCTCCATCCATGCTCCACTATTCATTTGGCTAGGAAAACCAGCCAAGTTCACAGGCCCACGTTCTGAAAGAAACCAAGACTAACTCAAATCAGACTGTGGGCAGGAAAAATCACTAAGGGGGAGGAGAATACAGCCAATAGTGCTTACCGCCCACAGAAAGCTCACTGGTGTGAAATTTACTGGACAGAGTGTTACCAACTTAAGGCTTTTAAAGGTTGATAAATATTTTTTGAATTAAAGAATAAGGCAATTCAATGTGACAGGTAAAAATTCTTTGGTAAGGTTGTCAAATCATTTTTCTTTTCTTTTTTTTGAGGAGTCTTGCACTGCTGCCCAGACTGGGGTGCAATGGTACGATCTCAGCTCACTGCAAGCTCCACTTCCTGGGTTCAAGTGATTCTCCTGCCTGAGCCTCCAGAGTAGCTGGGACTACAGGTGCGCACCACCATGCCCAGCTGATTTTTGTATTTTTAGTAGAGATGGGGTTTCACCATGTTGACAAGGATGGTTTCAATCTCTCGACCTTGTGATCCACCCACCTCAGCCTCCCAAAGTGCTGGGATTATAGGTGTCAGCCGCTGCGCCCGGCCCATTTTTCCTTTTTATAACTTTATTCATGACCTCTTTTGGAAGTCTGTCTGGAAAACACGAGGCACTAACACATTACTTGGAATTATCAACCACACTGAAAATACTCTCTTTGCTGACTATGGTTTCTCTACAAAGAGATGTGCTCTTTGAGGCAAAGAGTTCGATTTCATCTTTGTATTTCCTGCTTAGCCTAGTAGCAAGGTAAAACCCAAGAAGGGATTGCTGAATAAAACAAATCCTTATAAAACCCACCTCCAAAACCTTCAGATCCATCTCTTCTTTCCTACCCCGGCAATGACAGTGGCTCAGTTACTTATTAGCTGCAGGCTGGGGTCCTGGCCTGCCTCCTAACTCATCTCTCTATGACTTGTCTTGCCCTGTTAATCCATTCTCCATTGCCAGAGAGTCTGATCTAATTCTAAAATCAAAATCTGAGCTTTGAGTCCAAAAGTATTTCCAGAATGCTCTTTCTGAGTTTGCATCTTGCTGCTGGAGATGCAGCTTTAGCTTTGGCAAATCATTTCCATTTCAGAGCCTCAATCTCCTAGTCTGTGGAAAGGAGTACAGAACCCATACTTCAGCGAGTTGCTGTCAGGGTTAAATCAGAAAAGGCACAAGAGTGGTTAGCATGCACATGACATGCAGTAGATATTTAACTAGGCACAGGGCACTCAGTGGTCCAGGCTTAGGGAGAGAAAGTTCTACTGAGTGACAGGCTGGTGCAGAAACCCCAGGAAGGGGAGGAGGGGTGAGCGGTTAGGAGAGGCTTAACTAATGAAGGTTAGCCAAAGTGAAACCTGACGGCAGCAGAGAGGGTCCGGAACATGGGACAGTGAATCAGCATGTAAGAAAATTACTCTGGTGTACTGGGGATGAGGGGCTGGTGAGTAGGGGCAATCAATCTAGGCTAGAGATGACGAAGGTCTGAGTTAAGGTACGGGCAATGGGAATGGAGGAGGCATCGAAGATTTGGAGATATTTTTAAAAGTAGAGGTGTCAGAGCTCCTTGACTAATAGGACACGGGTTGGGGAGTGGGGCAGAGAGAAAAGCCGGGCTTTTGTATTTGTCATTTACTAAGACATGGGAACATTTGAAGAGAGAGTGGGAGGACACAAAGAGGCACTTCTTACTTCAAAAGCCTCAAGGTTATAAAAGTCCAAGACCCTTAACACCACCGCCCGCATCCCGATCACATATGACTTGGTCAAGCTCTCTTCCACACCCTTTGACTGCAGTTTTCTTCGTCTTGAGTGATTCTTGCCCTTTTCCCTCACCCTATTCCCAACCTCATCGCCTTCGAGTTATTCTTCAGGCCCCAGCTCAGAGCTGGCCTTGCTTTGCAGCCGTCACCACTCCCAAACATGTCAGCCCTTCCTTCTGCACCCACCCTCGTCCCCCAGCTCCACATTCCTCTTCCCTACCACTTTCACATGAGGCAGCGACTGCTCTTCTGCGAGGTCTGTACCCCTCACCAAACCATGGGACCCAAAAGCATTTAAGCACTTGACGACTGATTCCCAGTTGGCGGTAACTGGGGTGTGCATGCATGTGTATACACATACTGTACATACATGTATATGACTGTATCTACAGCCATGCATACATACACATATGTGCATATAATTTTTTTCAACAAAGTGAATGAGCAGGAAGAAAGTTGAATTTAGTCTTTTCGGAATTATGACAGCTTTGAAAACAGGCGTCACCTTCCGAAACTCAATCTTCTGGTTCCTTGTTACCCTTCGCAAAGGTCCATTCGATTTCGAGAGAAGACCCTTCTCCACCCTCGCCACGTGAACCAAGGAGCAAACTCTGGTAGGTCCCAGCGCCCGGAGCCTCAGTTTCCTCGTCAGCTGACCGAGGACGCTCCCCCGCCTGTCAATCTCAGAGGCTCGGGGCGAGGCTCCAACCGGACTGAATGGAGCCACCGCGTCCCATTCAGCCCCACCCCCGGCCTGGCCTCGCGCCGCCGCTCTCCCCCTAGCTCTGGGTCCTTCCTGGCCGCTGCCGCCCTCGGGCCAGGGCTCCCTGAAGTCCAGAGCCTCCCCCGCTCCCCCGGGTCCGGCTGTCAGCTGTCAGGGGGCCGCGGGGCGGCGACCGGAGGCGGGACGTGGAGTTTCTTTCAGGCACGGAGCAGTTCCGGCCCGCAGCTCCCCCCGCCCGCCGGGCCTTTGGGCCGCCGCCCGCAGGGGCCGCTCACCCTCCATCATCTCCTGCGACTGTTGCTGCCCCGCGCCGCTTTCCGCCGCCATGTTGGCTGCTCTTCCCCTTTCCGGAGTCTGTCGCCTCAGGTCCCTCAACCAATCAGGGCTCCCGCCTCAGAGTCGGCCCAGCCAATGGGATTCCAGCGCGGCGGCTCCGGCAGCGGCGGGCCTGCGCGGGCCCAGCGCCTCATGGGAGTTGTAGTTCTTCATGAGGCCATGCGCCGCGCCGCGCCTCCCCCGGGGCAGGTAATTTAAGGCAGCGGAGTCGGAGCAGTCTGGAGGCGAGAAACTGGGAAGGAAAGCAGGGGGAGTCGAAGCGGGACGCACAGCGCCGTGGCTGCCAGCGGACGGAGAGGACGTCGAGGCAGAGTGGAGAGACGCCCTGGGCTCGAGGATTGACTTATGTCCCTGTCCCGACCTCGGAGACGTGGAGGGGCCGCGGGCCAGGCGGATCCCTCCGGGGCTGCAAGTTGCAGGCCGGTCCCACGTGCATCCCTGGCCTCTGCGAGCCTCGCTGGCTGCGTCTGTACAATGGGCCGAACGGCAAAAGCAACAACATTCTCCCGGCGTCCCCGCGCGGATTTTACCCGTGCGAAAGGCTGCCTTCTTGTGACGCTCAGAGCAGCCGGGTACGTGCGGGGCACGCGCTGGTGGGGCCGCCAGGCGGCTGGCCGCTTCCGGGGCCCCAGCTGGGCTCCCTTTGCAAGCCGTTCCCATCCCAGCGCGGACGAGAAGCTGCAGTCTTCGTCCAGCCCGCGGAGCCTCCCGGCCCATAAGCGAGCCGCCGCGCGTCCTCCGCCTTCAGAGAGACGCCGCCAAGGGGCGAGCTCTGCGCCACTCACCCTTTCTGACCCCGAGGCGGGAGGAAACCGTACCTGCCCGGCCGGGGGGCGGGGGCGCCCATTCCTTTTGGGTCCTCCGAAGCGCCGTAGGGGGTGTCTGGTGCGTCCCTAGCAACCGTTAGCGCGGGCTTCTGGACTCCGGCTCCCTTAGTCCCGCCCACAAGCACAAGTGGTTGGTTCTTGGAGCTTGTCAATCGATGCGAGTCGCTGTGCGATTGGCCGATGGGAGACAAGCGCGCCTGGGCTCCCTTCCGCGGCGTGAAGCCGGCTCGGCGTGACCCTCGCCTGACCCAGGTGAGATCCTGCGCCGGGGAGAGCCGGCCGGGCTCCGCCGTCTCCCGAGGGCCGCCGTGGGGCCTGCGCTGCCCTCAGGCGAGCCCGGCTCCGGGTCTCCGGCCCCTGCGCCCCTCGCGCACCACGGAAGCGGCGTCCTGTCCGTGCTCCGGCCGCGGCCCGGTTGCGGCCGTTGGCCTCGGGGCCCGCGCCCCCAGCGTCTTCGGGGCTCCTTCTGTGTAGCCTGCCCGGCGGGAGCCCCCGCCCGCGCCTCGGTCGCCTCCCTCGGGACTGCGCTCTCTGCCGCCGCCTGCGCTGCGGTGCGGGCCCCGGAGAACCAGCCCGGATCCCGGCGCGCGCCCGCGCTCCCGGTGCCCGCACCTACCAGGACTTGGGCCTGAACCTCCTCTCCACCATCCCGGCGCAGCGCGGGCGGCTGCGCTGCGGTCTCGAGACCTTTCCCGTCCCTCCCTTCCACGTCGCGGACCCCGGCCAACTCGACGTCGATTTTTCTCTTAGGAGTTCCCTCTCTCCGTCCTTCTGCGGCTGCCTTGATTTAGGACTTTATAATTTCTTGCCTGGTTTACTGTAACCTTTCTCCTGGCCTCCAGCCTCGCCCCGACGTGGGTCCTGGAGTAGTCTTTGTAAAATGGGTATCTGGCCATGTTCCTCCTAAGCACTGAATCCTTAAAAGTCAATTTTTGGGGATAAAATTAAGACTTTTTGGGCAGACGTAGGAGGGTCTGGGCTCATGCCCGGCCTCTGCAGGCCCACGTCCACCTTCTCTTCGGCGTGTTGAGCTCGGCTCTGCGCGTTTGCCTCGCCGGGGTTCTGAAAGGCTTCTGCAGTCTTCCTGGAAGGGCTCGGCTCCGCAGGTGCCTCCTCAGGACTGACATCCTTGCTGAGTTCTGCTCCACTGTCCACCTCCTTGGCCTCATCCTGACACTGCTTCTGCTTTTTGTTGTGCAGCCGTGCAGGGAGCAGTGGGAGCCGCTTGCTTCCTAGCTTATGTTCTGGTGGGAGACAGACGTTTGCTCCTAGAAGTTCCCCGATGTGCTCCCTGCAAAGCTGCCCTTGGTTTGTTTGGTCTTAGGTGGGGTCGCTTGTGTCTTCTGGAATCAAAACTAGCAGTGGGAATGCGGTTACTCAGTGGTACCATTAGGTGCTGTGTGCTGGGTTGGGTTCCCGTGTGTGCTGGTCACGGGATACAAAGGACAGTTCTAAAAATCTGAGCCTGCACTCGGAGGCATTTCTGGTTTGTATTCGAGTCCAAATTTAGTGATCTAAGGTCATATGAAGCCGGCTCTGTTCCCTCCTGAGGCCAGGCTGTGGCCGTGGAGTGCACGGGAGGCTCAAGGGGCCGTTGCTGCTCAGTGACAGATGCTGCTCAGTGACAGATGCTGCTCAGTGACACGCTGGCCCACGTGGACCTCACAGCCAGGAGGCACAGAGGGAAAAAGGAGGCATCTTTCCTGCCTTCTTCCCCACTCCCGCAGGACAAAAACTGCATGCCCTTACCCTTCCTTTCCCTCTCACCTTAGTTACTTTTACAAAGAAACTTACGTAACATTTGCGATATGTTCTGAACAGTTATACTACTTTATTATTTTATCTTTTGCCACAGGGTCTTGCTCTGTCGCCCAGGCTGGAGTGCAGTGGTGTGGTGTCCTCTCACTGCAGGCTCTGCCTCCTGGGCTCAAGCCGTTTTCCCACCTCAGCGTCCCAAGAAACTGGGACTACCAGTATGTGCCACCACACCTCACTTATTTTTAATTTTATTTATTTATTTATTTTGTAGAGATGGGGTCTCCCTATGTTGCTCAGGCTGGTCTTGAACTCCTAAGCTCAAGCAATCTACATGGCCTCCCAAATTACTGGGTATATTATTTTTTTAAATGAAGATTTCTAACATTGACATTGCAGTCTGATGAGTTGTATTTTTTAGGAATTAAAGTTTTCTAATGTAATGTATTCTGAAAAGTTATATTATTTTTTAAGAAACAAATTAAGGTTTTACAGCAGTTAAATGCATTCTGAAGCTCTAAATAAGTGTCCTGAGCTTTGTCTATGAGTTGGTTCTAAAAGTAGAAAAACTGCCTCAAACTATGATCATGTCATTGTTATTTATATTGTAGCAATAATTAGTGCATTCGGATGCTTAGAGGAGATGTCAGCCTGTGACTAAAGGTCCCATTCAGTGTTGCTGCTTGAAGAAATGCCGCACACTTGAACCCCAAACCCCGTATGTCATGTATTTCTAGCTTCCCATACATTTGCGGGTTTGCAGAGCCTTTCCCTTCTAGGGTCCTAGGCTGGGTTTGTGTGTAGAATGTCTGAATTTTTGAGTTGTGATCAGTTGATTCATACAAAAGAATAATGGCAATATTAGTCATGAATTGTACCAGCAGAGTGGATGCATTTGAACCTATCACCCAAATTAGGAAATCAGGGGCCTGTGTCCTTGTGCCTCTTCCCCACTTCAGCATCTGCCTGACCCCAAGGGAGCCACCTGCCTGAAGTTAGGTTTACCAGACTCTTATTTTAGAAGCAGTTTAATCACATAGATGTGTTTCCCTGAACTACTTATTTAGGTTGTTTTTTTTTGTTTTTTTTTTTTTTTTG